ACGTAATGTGGTTGTGAAAAATCAAATGATTGTACAATTTCCATATGTGAAAGTTGAATATATTCATTTATAAATTTAGCATAATCACTACGTAATTGTTCATTTTTTTCAAACTTTCGCTCAAGTACTAGAAAGCGTTTAAAAGCAATGTCGTAAGAGTTACTCAATAAAGATGTTGATAATTTGAAAGGCAACTTTACACCAAATCGTCCGTCTGGCAACCTCGTAAAATTATTTTGAAAATGTAACTCACACTGCTCCTCTTCTTGTGATAATTTTGGCGAACATTCCTTAAAACTTTCAATTTCCCAAAATGCTTTAATAGCATCAGACAGGTGATCATTTTGTTGAACGCTAGATATTTGAAATGAGTTGCACTTGACATATGCAATTGAATTTGCATGGTGTCCCCGCGACAATCCAGCCTAAACGTGTATTGGTTAGTATGGGACGATTTTACCATTCTCCAAAATATCAAAAAATATGTCAACACCCAATAATATGTCGACTCGTTGCGGTATGTTAAAACGTTCATAATAAATTGTTTTCCACAAATATAGCCAAATGTTATCGGCGAATTATGGCAATATTTTCGCCAATGGCCAGCCTCCCCACATTTCCAATATAGTTTTTCTCTTTGTTTCCTATCCGGTTGCCTTTCCTGCTCAAGCAAACGGTGTTGTTCTCTCTCCCATTGCATGTTTTCTATTGAAGTGCCTTCCAAATCATCGGCCATCTCGTCGAGATTTCTGGGATCTTTCCTTCGGGTATACCATAAGTACTCCGATAACGCGTTACTGTAAATCCTCTCTAAATTCTGTTGCTCGGAATATCTTACGTGCCCCATCAGGGCGTGGAGAAATCGCCCAATGGTTCTTGGGTTCTTTGCGCTCTTTTTCTGATTTCAATTTCGAGACTTTTGAATTACCTGGTTGGTAAAACGAGGGGAAAAATTCACTTTCCGATCCATTGATAATTGCTCTTTCTGTACTAAGCCAGTGTCTTGTCCTGCAGCATAATTGCCATGAGCCTTGGTAATTCCTTTGGATTTATATTTAAATTTCGGATAGGTATTGCATCTCTTCCATGAATTGTAATGGGTCGTATGATCCGATGTAGTTTAGTTCCCTTTGTCAATAAGTTACCTATGCGGCAGCTAAATGTATCTCCTTTCGGGGATACCCCTCGTGCGGGGGGTTTGTTGAAACTGGCCACCTCAGTAAATACGAGATCGGGAGATGGCAGCCCTTCGGACTGCCTTTTCCGAAGGTCCATGGTCAAATCTGGTTTATTATCCCTTCGGGAATTTGCTATCTAGTCTTCGCCTTAATATCCGTGGTTGTTCACGTTAGTGAACCGGTGCTTCTTGAGGCTCCTGGTCCCAGCAATGTTTGTGCTGCCTTATGCTTATCTTGGAAAGCTACAAGCCGACATATAGTCTTGGAGTTATGTTCTCCTTCTACAAATCTTCCCCATCGTTTTCTTAATTTAGTCGGTCCTCTCCAAATGGAATTTTACTAAGTACTCCAACAGATCATTCTTGTGGAGCGTGAAAGCCCGCGCTGTCTTGGATACATTCGATACCTTATCTCCATTTGTTAGTAACTTTTTTCAAATGATAATTCGCCTCTCAATGCTCCTTCATTGTGAACTTCGTTATAATGGGTCACTTTGTTCTATATAAATCAATGAAGAGCTTGGCAATGTTTAAGTACAGATTATTTTTATAAAACTACTGTAATTAAAATTTTCTCTTCTTTAAATACACCACTTCCAACAAAAAATGTGTTTTCTTCTATAGTAATTAGCGGCAAGCTCCACAATTTGGAGGCTTGACCTGGAGACTCGTAATTAAGAATGGTATGATAATCTGGGTGGATTGAGAGTCGGTCATCCTGATTGGAAGGCATCCCAAAACATCTAACTAAACTGGATAAGTGAGAAGATGAACACTTAAGAAATTTTAAATTTGTCGGTGGAAGGTATTAAGGCGAAATTTAGTGAATTAGGTTTACATGCTAATGGGCGTAAAGGTGTTCTCCAAACCAGACTGTTGGATCATTAAAAACTAAACCCGACGAGTGCAGCGTCCGATTATGAGGAAGCTGCTTCAATGTAAAACTGCGCCAACGAGGAGACAAGGCTATTCACATTAAAAAACATTGAAGATTCGTTGACATCGTTTAATGGATCCGATAGCACTGGAGTACGTAAGTACATATTAGATTTTAAGAATAATGCAGAAGCAGTGAATTGGAATGATTTGCAAAAGTTCTAATATGCCAAACAACTTTTGAAAGGAGCAGCTAAATTGTTTGCCCGTTCTCAGGAAGATTTAAAAAGTTGGGCACTACTTATGAAGGCTCTTATTAAAAAATTTGGAATAAAATTATCATCCACAGAAATCCATCGTTTGCTGCAAAACCGCAAGAAAAAGCACAATGAAAGTTACCGGGAATATCTGCATACTTTGGTGGAGATGGGCAAACCAACAGATTTGGGCAAACACGACTTAATTCAACATTTTTCGGACGATATTTCCGATTGCGAGAAGAACAAAGCCATTCTACATCAGGTTAAAGATTTAGATGATCTAAAAGAGAAACTAAAGATATATGAAAAAACTCGTAGCACAGAGAAGAAAACATCAACTTTGAAACCAGTACTACTGAAAGAAAGTGTAGATAATGAGCGTGCAATCTATTTTCCAAAGAAATGATTCAAATGCAGACAAAGAGAGTAAAATAATGCAAGTTTAGAAATATCATTTGCTTTAACGGGAAGAGGGAATGTCACAAAACCACTGAATGTCAGCTTAAATATTAAGTCTGTAAGCGTTAACTCTGGCATACCGTGACTCAAGAAGTGAGAGAAATTATATAAAAGTAAATGGGCTGACATTCTCTGCGATTTTCGATTTAGGTAGTGATACATCAATAATAAGTTGCGACGTTTTCAACCAACTGAAGTGTGTTAATTTGATATATGAGAAAGTTAACTTTAAATGCGCTGGCAATATCCAATTTAAAAGTACTGTTAACATAGATAATACCGTTGTCAAAGTTAAATTTTACATTACAAAATATTGATTAATTAAAAAGAGTATTGGAACTGGAAAGAAAATATAATTTACAAATTAAGTAGAAAAAATGTTGGTTCTTAATGAGAAAGATTAAATTGTTAGGATACGATGTTGGTTTAATTATCACTAAAAAAGACTGCTGCTACAGAAAACTTTGCTGTGCCAAATAATTTCAAAACAATAAACTTTGGATCTTATATCACATTTTAGACGATTTGTACCCAACAGCGCCAGCTTAGCGAAGCCGTTGTTAAACATATGACGTAAGAACAGCGCTTTTAAAATAGGGGATAGTGAGCTGTTAGCATTTCAAGAATTAAAATATCGTCTCGTGAGTGCTCCAGTTCAGTCGTTATGCAATCCCGACGTGAGCATGTGTGGGTATGGAGCGTTTCATGTGGTTCAATATATGAGCCGTACGGCAAGCGTAATCGAACAAAAAAATTACTGACATGAATTAGAATTTTGTAATTGACATAGTTGACAATTATTTGTAAAGTTATAATAACATTCGGCCCCCGCGTTAGGCGCCATTGGTAACTGTCATAGTTGACAATTATATGAAAATGTAAAATTATAAGCTCAGGCGATGCCTTTTCAATCCATTCCATCCTTTTATTTATTTGTCCTATTTTTCTTTCCTTCTTTTCCCTGCTCACAAGCTGTGACCAGATACCTGTTGTAAGTCCGTCCGTAAGGACATTGTCTGTACTATTCGTTGTTCCTTGTTTCATTCTTGGTCCGTTAGTCCGTATTCCCTGTCCCCTACCCTCCCTCACACCCACACCCACCAATACCACGCCTCAGCGGTACCTACAGACTGCTTATTTAAGCATCATTTCTTTTCCTCTTTTTTTAAGTTCTTTCTAGTAAAACAAATATACTAACATATTTCTCTTATTCACCTGAGTAGCCGAAGGCGAGGAATCTCGACTAGCAAGTCAATGGTCGTGGGTTCGAATCTCAAGTGCGTTAGAGTTTTTAATAAAAGCCGATAGCCTTAGATGCTAGTGCTTTTAAGAGTTTAGTCTTAGAATTTATTTTTCCGGCGAAATTAATAATAATAAGAATAATAATAATAATAATAACATAAAAATTTTAAAAATCCTCCTTTACTTCTCTTTTTTTTAAGTTTTTGTTTTTTTTATTATAAGGAAACTATATTTTGGTTCAGATTGACATGTGTTATAAACTTAAAGGTAATTTTTATGTTAATTTATCTTCAATTTTTTTAGTATTACCGTTTTCATTGCGATTTCTCTTTCCTGCTTTGCCCAGTTTTTCTTTTGCTTAGCTCTGTTAAGCAGAGAAAAATTGAAGATAAACTCAGATGATAGTTGCTAACTCTAGAAACAATAACTATGTAACAATTTTGTCAAGGCCATGGCTTTTATTTCCGTTTCTTCACTGATCTACATTTTATATAAATATTTTGGGCTTTTTTTTTCCATACATCTTTTTAGTACATAAAATTTTCATTTCGAGATTTTCTATCTATTTATATATACATTGTAACGGCCGCGAACAAACCTTGGGTAGGGTGTCTGTCGGTCTATGTCAACCGCAAGTATCGCAATAACGGCATGCCGTTAGACAAAATCGTGTGATTTTGTGGTACCGTTTAAAAATCGCATGATCTTGCGGGATATGATTGTTTTATTTCTTTTATTTTTTAAAATCATACGATTTTGCGGTATTCCTTTTTTTCTTTTGCTTTTGCAAGATCAGGCAAAATCGTATGATTTTGCGGGATCTTTGCTTGCTTTAGTGAGAGTAGCGGCAAGCCGCTATAGAGAGCAACAGAAAGAAGAAGAGAGGAATTGAGCAGGAATGAGAGGTCTGTCTGTGTTTTTTTTTTCGAAGATGGAAGAGATGTCTTTTGGAAGTTCGCGTGTGAAGATGGTAAAATCGCGCTTGAAGCTGACAGTTTTGCAAAATAGTGCCTAGTAATAATGTAAAAAGAAATTGTTAACTAGAGCTATATGAAAGAAATACAAGTCGGTGGGACTAAAATAATTGTTAAATGTTGAAAAAGGTTTTGCTTGCATCGAGTGAAAGAACAAAAAAATAATGAAATCAGCAAAGCTGTTATTTTGTTTGGTAAATTTCCAAATATATAACACAAAAAAATGCATGTACGAATGAGTGTACACAAATTATGCAAAGAAATTGTGCTTTTGCTGGGAAAAAATAAGTAAAATGTCAATGAAAATCCATAATGAAGTCAGCAATGCTGCTATTTTTGATAAATTGCCATATGTAGAATATAAAAAAATGCAAGTACGAATAAGTGTACACAAATTATGCAAAGAAATTGTGCTTTTGCTAGAAAAAAATAAGTAAAATGTCAATGTTTAAGAAATCCATAATGAAAGCAATAATGCTGCTATTTATTTTTTTTTTGATAATTCCCATATATACAATATAAAATGCATGTACGAATGAGTGTGTGCAAATCATGTAATGAAACTGTGTATTCGATAGAAAATAGTAAGCAAAATGGCAAAGAAAATATTTCAGAAAAATCCAAAATTCTTATAAACTAGAAGCCGCATAAAGAGAAAAAAAAATAATAAGTAAAATGACAAAAAAATACTGAAGAAAAATCCATGTGAATCAGGCAAATTATGGAAATTTGGTATAAAACAAACTTTTTAGTACAATAGCTTTCGCGGAACTAGTAAACATCAAGGAGAATGTAAATAAGCTAAAATAATGGAAATTTTGTATTAAATAAACTTCTTGTTACAATAAAAAAAAAAAAAGGCAGAAATCTAAAGTGAATGAAGTTATTATTTTTGTTTCCCTTGGAGTAAAAATTAAACGAGTAGAACGAAATGAGCTCAATTGGCAAGAACAACGATAACAACAACAGCAGCAGTAATGTGACATTTATCAATGATCGTCAGTAAAATTCGTGATAGAAATTCATCGAAACCAACGTTTTGGATTACACTAAGAAGCAACATAACAAAGTAAAGAGGAGAAGGAAAAGGGACGAATAAGAGCGAGAGACTGTAAGGAGGAGGAACCGCCGATGTAGGAGCTACCGCAGCAGACACTACACCGACACCAATTGCAGCAGGTATTGTAAGTCATCTAGTTCTTTTAGTTCCTTTTCTTGTTGTCCCCGATGTGTGGCTGAGTGCGAACTACCACGGCTGTGGCTGAGGTGAAGGGGGTGTGCGCATGATGGCACTGTAGGGAGGACTCTAGACGGTCACCAACGGACTCGGTACTGACCTACAGACGATATATTGGACAAGGGACAGGATAATGGGGTGATGCGATTCTTGCTACATGGAATCGACCTTTTGTCCTTTTTATGTTTTTTTTTATTATTGGAACAAGGGATGGCGGGTGAGAGGACAGGAGAGGAAGGAAAGAGTCTCGCCAAATTGCTCTACTGCAAACACACGCCTTCGTTACAACATATACCCTAATTTTTTTTGGTTCATGATGTTTCTCTTAGTATTTATGTTTTCTCCTTCCTTCCCTTTTTGCAGCAGTTGTCTTCTTATTCTGTTTTATCTTTTTACGTGCACACTGGATATAGTTAGAAAGAATAGTTGCACTTCTGTTTAATATTTTTATTATCACTGGCTCCTATAAATGTATATACTAATTGGATTGGTTTAATTGTGAGGATGTATGGTGCTTGTCTCTAGCTGTAGATTCTGTTTAAATCTCTTCCTTTTTATTTGTTTGTCTTTTTCTTCGGATTTTTGGCTATATTCTGCCAAGTTATAAATACAGTTTTTTGCGTTTTGCAATCCAATTTTGCTGCTTTCTCATAAAAAATATAACACGCTAAACAATTCGTTTGTGTCTCGCATTTTTTTCTTTTATTTAACACACGAGACTTTCCCGGTAGGTGTCTTGTTTTTTATTATGTTTATTTTTTACCCTGCACCAAATATTTTTTCCTGGTTGTTTTTCTTGTTCTTTTTTTTTTGTCATATAATCACCTGAACTTTACACTTGAACATAATGAAAGTTATCATAATAAATCAATAAAATATTGTTTAGTAGAAATTTTTTTTGCTCTTATTTTTGTATTTATAGTCACCAGAATCCTTAGTTTTTTTGAATAAAGCCTTACAAATACCAAGTCCCTTCAACATTCAAAAGACATCAAAAACAACCGAAATATTGTCAAATCATACCGAGGAATCTTGGACTTTTTCTCTTTTCATAATTCTCTCTCGTATAATAACGTTATTTAGAGAGAGAGAGGTATGAATAGAGGTTTTTTCATAACGACAGGCTGTTATTACGGTTTTTGCCTTCTTTATTGGGATAGAGAAGTGGAGAACGCAGACCGATGGAACCCCCACCTTCAAATGCACGCGGACGTTACAAGTTCTTGCAATTATTCAAGCTTCAAAGAAGTGGCGACCTTATGTAATCTGGATTAAGGTAAAAATTTTTTTAATTGGAATGCCAAGAAAGACGTATTCCTGAGAGTTTCGAGATGGGCTATCTTCATTCAGGAATTCAATTTTACAATTCAACATAAGTCGGGCAGCAAAATGCGACACGTTGATGTTCTTAGCCGAGAGTCGTGTTTATTAATCGAACATTTATTGAAACAGCGTATAATCGCAAAGCTCAAAAGTTAGACGGCTGGGTGAAATCAATAAAAAAAATATAAGTAAGAAATTCATATGAAGACTTCTACTTAAAATATGACGTATTACATAAAGACCCCGCTAGCAAGAGATAAACCCATTAGCACAACGAGGAAGTCATTCTTGAACAAAGAACCCAAAAGATTTAATCGAAACAACATTTTATAGCCCAAACATAGCAAAGAAAGTGGAGAAAAACGTAGAGAGTTGTGTAAGCTGTCTTGCAGTGATAGTGGCAAAAAATACGGATTATTGATTCCAATAAACAGATAAACCTATCACATCTTTTAACCTCCACAGGTGTTTCTAGAAGAAATGGGTAAGTCGAAAGAATTGACAAAATGGTCACAACTTTGCTGAGTAAATTGTGTATTGATCAACCTCAGAAATGGTACAAACACATTGATAGAGAAAATCAGTGTATAAATAATAAGCCTCCGAAAAGTACACATATATCATCATTTAAAGTGTTAACTGAAATGGATGTGCGAATTAAAACACAACCTGAACTACGTAAGGTACTTGAAGAACTTATAATAGAAAGTTTAGATATGGAAAACGACAATTAACGCCTCCTTCCTCGAAATAACACAGGTCGCATTCAGGCTGAAAACAAGAAAACCTTCTATCGCACGAGGACTGAAGCACCAAAATACAGCTTAAACTATTTGGTCAGTATAAAACGAGCTCAGCTGGTTTTTGGTTTGAAGTTGAAACAAAAATACCTTGGTACATACAATATAACTTTTAATATAACTTATCAACTTAATCGTGATAGATATGAAGTTGAAAAGGTTGGCGATGTAGAAAGCCTAAGAAGAATCACTACTCTGATCACTGGCACCCATCATTCGAGGCGAATGACAATTCAGAATGGCCGAATGTAGAAAATACGGAAAACTACTGTAATTAAACGCCTTCCAGATAAATATTTCTAAACTGGGGCAGTCCTGATATGTCATTATTATTTTTCATTATTATTCATTGGTATTGCATAATTTTTTTCTTTAAGTTTATAATAAGACATTTGAAATTTTCTTTTCTTTAAATAAATCACTTTCACCAAAAAGTGTTTCGAATTTTTTTTCTTTAAAAAAATCAGTTCTACTAAAAAGTGTGTTTGCTTTTATTGTAATTCGCGGAACGCTCCACATGTATGATTTTCAACACATTTCGCTTATTTAACATATTCTTTTAAACTTATTCTTGTTCGATCTCAATAAGAGAGAACATGGTATACACAACAAATAGCTGTACCTTAATTTCCTGTTAACGACTTTACTGTAAGTTAATATTAAATTTATAAGTTAATATTGAATAACTAGCGAAGCGTAAAAGCGACGACCGGAGTTAAAAGCGTTATATTTTATCGATATTTAGATTCACTTTTACACGTCTAATTACATTTTTACTTCGATACTAATATTTTATTTATTTTTTAATCCTGATATATTTTATCATTCGCAAACGCGTACGTAATCAATTAATACTATATTTATCAACACATCGGCCGACCATTATTATCGATATTTCACATTTACTTGTATATGTCTAATCTCAGTCTTACGTTGATATCTTATATATTTCGTATAATAACATGTTTTTCTTTTGTGTATGCGGAAGCGCGCGCGGATTGTAATTCAAAAATTTTAGAGGACACGTTAACTTAAAAGTAATTTCATTTTTTTTTTATTTATGTTTGTATTCAAGTTCTTAAGTTTCCTTTAATACTCACTATTGAGAGCATGAACAGAAGAAAAATAGCGTAATTAGGATTATCTTTTCTCTTTTTCTTTTTTTAATACACTTAGTGACATTTTAAGCTAATATAAAAGAATGTGCTTAATACACTCATGTTTCGTTTCCCTGATCAAATGAAACGCTGGTTATTCCTTTTCCTTCCTTTAAATCCAGGGTAAATATCGAATGATACAAGATTATTTCGTTGCTGGATTAAGTCCGCTTTTAAAACCAGCAGCAAGCATATACAAAAAAAACTTCTTAATAAATTGACTTTTGCTTTAGTCCTTTTTTGTAGAAATTTAATTTAAAAACTCCAACTTCACTCTTGCGAAAGTTTTTCTCTGCTTTTTCTTTATTTTTGTTTGCTTCACTAAAAGAATAATCTCTTGTGATCGCTATTGTTAGATGTGTCACACGGACTATGTTGAATTTTTAATTGCAAACGCAATTGCCAGCGCTGTTAGTGTTCTGCCACTTTAAGCTAGTTTTAGAATTTTTGTGAATTATGCATACATTTATTTTTAAAACCAGGGATGGTGTTTTCTTTTTTTATCTATATATTTTTACATATATAATGTTTCATCCTTTTTGGACAGTGTCGTTTTTATGCTTTTTTTATTGTTTAGGCATTTCTGTCACTTCACGGTGCTTTATTTTAAATATATTGGCTTATTCCGTAGTACACTTATTTACTTTTCTCTCTTCGCTTGGGCTAACTCGCCGATTTGTCTAGGTATTCGGCTTCACTTAATAATTAACTTTATTTTGATTTACCCTGTCCCCATAATTAAAAGTATTCTCTTCTCATATGTTTATGCCGGACAATTAAAAAAAAAGGGAGCACCAGTTCAAGAGAAGCTGTCAGGGAAGTACGTGTTAAACAAAGATTCAAGTTTAAACCTTAACGAAAAGAACAATATCTAAATAAGTTCTTGGTCATTTGCCATAAATTCATTTCAGTGATCGTCAGTAGTACTTATTGCTCAATTGCAAAAGGACAAATGGAAATAATACTGTCTCTCATCGTACTACAATCAGATATGGCCAAATTGCAATCAAAGCATCGCTAAAGGATGTCAAGAGCGGGAGAGACTGTGGCACCAGCTAACAACGGATTTAAATTCAATCATCTTTATAATCAGTTTCTAAAAATCAAAATAAAGTGCAACTTTTTAATTTACACAAAACACATTTTGAAACGCATTTGTTGTTTACATCTTTTATTTAGAAATTGTTGGTTCTAATATCTTAGCTATGGTATTTTCCTTATCAATTTGATAAAGCAACACAATTCAGTTTAGAAGTGATGTTCTTCGTTCTTTACTTATTCGCCTTAATTGGGAGGCCTCTCCAAATAATTTGTGGATGCTGAAGAAGCTAAATGGCTAAAGGAATCACCGGAGGTATGTAGATACTCTTTAATCACTCGCTCCAATTTTCCCTGCCACGTATTCTGAAGCCAGTTTTCACACATGAAAGGACTTCCAAGGGGCTACATATAACAACTATATATTTTGTCACGGGCATAGTCCGTTGCGCGGTAGATCGTTTTCAAATTTTTATTCGGCCTGCTGTGCCACAAGACAAAGAAAAAAAAAACAATTGAAAATAGAAATAAACAAAAAGGATTTGAACCTGAGGTAAGAAAAAAAAGCCCAGAAAACAAAATAAATGCTCAACCAGACTCTTAATGAGGTCATATTGTGTAAGTTCGTCTACGAAGTCCGATGTCCGTCCTGTCCGTCGTTGTTGGTCCCTTCTTAGTCCGCCAGTAACCGTTCCAAGCCCCCTACCTTCACTCGCGCGTACACCCATCCACACTCCGCTTCAGCGGTGCAGTATGCCACTTAACCACACATTTTTTGTAGCCAAGCAATTCCAATTTTAATTTTTACTTATTACCGCTGGCATTTTGATTAACATCCAATAATACCTGAACGTTGAGATGATGAAGCGCCAGCTAAAGATGTGACATCCTCGTGAGAGATACACGATGGTTGCTCCAATTGCTGAGGTTTCACAAAAGCAGATGAGGGCGCAGTACATACAATATCGTCGCCCCTTCAAGGCAAGGCAGGGGGTATGTCAGCCAGCAACGTTAATAAGTAGTAATCAATTTGCTCAGCCGCCTTAACGAACACCACATGTTAATAGTAGACCTCTTTATACTGGTACGTTCACCGTTCCAATAACTATATTTTAATGCTTTCCTTCTCAAAATAATTAGAGCGCAACCTCAATATTTTGCCAAGAAAAAAGTCTTCCTTTTTGTTTTATATCAGAATTTTTTTTCCACATATATTTTGCATTTTAATAACATCGACATTTGCTTTGAATTGTATCAGAATACACTTATATATAAATCATAGCTTTTCTTACAGTAAATTACATTTTTTATTAGTAGTTAAACTTGCAATTTAATTTAATAAAAATTTTCTTTTCGTAAATCTGTCGCTTGCAATTCTTTTCTCCTGTCTTTCATTTAACAAACCAAATAAATGCGAATATAACTGTTTTTGTGTTGGAGAATGTTTTATGTTGGATTATCCTAGCTTAATTTTCTTTTCAAGTTTTGTTTGACATGCTTCTTTAACAATATTGTCGCTTATTTATTTACTTTTTTTTTCAATGTCTTTTTCCAGTTTGCCGTTTGAAATTCATAGTTACACAGAATTTTACTTTGGTGCGTAAGATATTATTAATTTGTCAGGAAAAAAAAAATTTTGCAAATAAAATATTTCTTATATTTTGTAAACGGATTTTTTCCTATTTATCCCTCTTTTTTTATATGTATAATAATAAAACTTCGAATAGCATAAATGTACAAATAAAATAGCACTCTCTTCAATAAAATACAATTTACATAATTTTTGTTTATTAATATTTTCTTTTCAAAAACAAAAGAGCGACACCAAGTTTCCTTTTATACAAAACATGTGCCATATATCATAAAATCATTTGATTTGGTTCGCTCGCATATACGTATTTCACCAAAGACATGAAAATTTTTGGTTTTTCTTCCTTGCACTATTCCTGCATTAAAACTGATTCTCCATTTGCGCTTTTGGACCGATTTTTAAAGACTTCTATATAGATTTGATATTTTACAAATTGTCAAACAATTAAATTTTTGCACAATTTTCAATAAATTTACATATCATTTTTTTTAGAAAATTTTTTTTCTTCAGATCTTTTCACGAATAACTTCTCTTTTCTCTCTGCGTGCGCACTTTCCTCTCCTGAGGTCTGCTGAAGAAAAGGAAATGCCAAAAACACAAAAACCACCACCACCGAACTCTCAAGCCAAAACCCTCTCTCAAAAAAATCGTTTTTTCTCGCTCGATCTTTTTTCTTCTGTGCATAGCGGTAAGCCGCTGTTTTTGCAATCACACGATATCAAAATAACGGCACGCCGTTATTACGACATTTCTGGAAAAAAACAGACCGTCAGATCCCCTGCCTTAAATTTGCACGCGGACGTTACAATTTTTATACATGTTGTTTACAAATACATACATAAGAGAATTTAAAGCGTCCTGCAGAGCCCTTCTGCGTCGATCCTGATGCTCCTCTACTGCCAAATAACACAATATAACCAAAAAAAGCATAGCGCTTAATATGCACGTATTCATAACATAACTTGATTATCTAATAACAATATTTAATAATGTTTTACTTACTTTTTTGTCGGTTTGCTCAGTAGGTTGGGTTTGGCCTGATAAAATCATCATATCCAGCAGAGTGACGACTGTTTATTGTTCGATACGCCTTTGCGCTTTATCAATGATAGCGAAACTATATGATAATGTATGGAAAGATTGATGATACAGAATTGATTAAAAGGTGAGAGGATTGAGAATATTAATTAAACAATTAGAGTAAATTTACTTCCCTTCTACAAATTTATAATTTTTTGTTCAGCTGCTTGTAAGTGAACAATTTCATTTTGAACTTATTTCGTTTTCTGTTTACAGCTGTTTTCTCTTTTAAACAACCAATGCCAAATCTAAAAAGCCAATACTAATGGGAAATGCGAAGTATTTAGTTTACATCTGACGTACCATTCAAATACCTTCAGGTGATGGTAGATACCTTTTACAGGCGTGGTTAATATCGCCGTACAGAACTTTACTCAATCCAATCAAATAAGCATACAATATTATTCATAGGAGAGCAAAAAAAATTGTTGAGAGATAAATTGGTGTACATAAAGGCTAGCATTTAATTTATTTTTCAAAAATCTAAATTAAACCTATTAATTTTTCAAGGTGTCTGGCGTATTATAGCGCAGAACGGAAGAGCAGATACGATTCAAGGATATATAATATAAAATATGAAACCTAGAAATTCAGGATTTAACTTCTGCAGCCCTCGTAACTTTTTTATGGCTTTCATGTTTTGCTACAGAGTTCCCTATTTAGGCGAATAAGAACAATAAGAGAAAATAAGAACCGATATATGTTCCTCACTTCTAAACTGTATTGTATTGAAGAAAAAAAACGTAAGGAATAAATCCGCTTTAAGATATTTTGTGACAATTAAAAAGTTGCTTTCACTTATAAAACGTAACTTCTTTTGGAATTCATTTCAAAACACTATACATTCTTCGTAGGTAAATGTATGTGTTAGTGTATAGATATATAAAACAATAATAAAAATATATAAAATTCAAGTTCACCATTTAAAGGATTACTAAGGCATGAAAATATAGTATATAAGATTGTATCATGTTGTTTGTTTCTAACCAACCATAAATATGGGAGAATTTTGCATTCTGGCTTGAAATTTTATGATATTTTATTTTTATTACATTTTTTCAACGTTATTGTTTCTAATCGTACTCTGGCTTTTCTATAGGCTATCATAATGTCGTCTAATATTACGTCATGTTTGCTTGCTTTGAACGTTTGTAGCAATTCACAATTTTGTTCTTTGATATCTTGCCATTTAAAATTTAACTGGCAAGTATTTTGCATTTGTGCACTATAGCGCAGGTGAAAGTTTGGAGGCACTTCATTTCTGTGTTCTTGGCGAATGTTTACAAAAAATTTAATAAAATCGGAGTGACGAAAGCCACCAATAAAGTAACGGGTAAAAGCATCAAAGAGGCCTACCCTTGGTCGCATGCATTTTAACGTCACACATTCCTGGTGTACTTGTAGTAGGTTGATTGCATGATAAGCGTAGCCTTCTACACGTTCACGATCCCATGAATCAGTAGATATTACTTCAAAGAATATATGTAACCGATGTTTGTGACTGTATTTAGATTTACAAACCAGCGTCATTTGCCAACAAAATCCGATATTAATGCTCTTATTTAATGATGACGATGTCGACACGGAGTGAGTAGTGGCATCTAATATTCCATCTTCAAGCAGAAAGCTGGGTGGCGTCTTGATATGGTAACGTACATGGATACTTTTATATTCAGTGCCTGAAATAGCTAATATTTCAAATAGCAGCAAATACTTTTGAGTCGTTTTAGGAGATGAAGAAAAGCTCCTGAGCATCTGACCTTTAGTATGGAATAATTCAGGGACGAATGTTAAGCAGTTTATAACACTATTCCTGCAGTTAATTTCAGGTGACGCATTTGCTATGCCATATGAGTATAAGTTGCGATAATTGGTATTGATTTCAATGTAGTAAGTATTAAAGTAATAATCAGTAAAATTTGGATAAATATGCAACAGCTGCAAGTCGTCATACCATTTTAATACAGCCAACATTGTGTCTGGATTGAGAGCAGCATAAATGTACATAATTTCCGATGGCTTCTCTTGCCACGTATCTCTCTGTTGACTCATATTTTTTTTGGTTCGAAAGTCATCTTTATCAACATACGTAAAAATCACATTACCCATCGATATTAAATTCCTTCCGATTGCCATTTTTGGAAAGTCGGATGTTTTATAATTCTTAAATCGACTTATTTGCGTGCGTGTGTCCTTTTTTGGGTTATTTTTGAACTCTGTAAGCCATTGATGGTATTCCTTTTGTATATCGGTCGTACAGTTGTCCGAACTACTATACAGCTCTACCTCTTCCGCACTTAAGAGCTTCTGTTGCCATTTAATGGCCACATCTACAATATCGTTTTCAAATGACTTTTGCGAACCGTTGTTTCTAAAAGTCCAATATTGTTCAAATTCTTCCAGTTTTGTCTCTTTAATACCATAGCTCGGTAATTTTAGAAGAGAATTCATAGCACGCAGGTGAACTTTTAATTGCAGTAGATCAATGTTACCTTTTATTTGATACAGGCCTGAAGATTTTGGTATTTTGTTAAACATTTTTCACGCAAGAAATTTTTATTTCGTACTTCTTACTGAAGTTTGTCAGCAAATCAAAAACCATAGCAACAGCCAACAACCAATAAACCAGTGTTTTCGCGTCAACTGTATTCAAATTTGATTATAAATTATTAATACAAATGACAAATTGAACTATTCTAAAAATTGAAAACCCTTTCAAAACAAATATTTGAAGTGAAATTTTTTTCCCAACAAAAAGTCTTGAGACCGTAATCGTGATTCCAAAAGAGAGATATCACTAACTGATTCTGTTATTAACACTTACCAGGAATACTTACCGAGATGTTGAATGAATATTAATATGTGCAATTAGTATGAGTACTAGGTAGGTTCGCTTTGCGTCAAGCTTTTTAAATCCGCTACTTTGAAGATATTATTATTATTATAATTTTAGACTAATGAAATAAATTCTTAAACTATAAAAAAAAAGACATTGAGCACTAGCAACACAGGCTGTCGGCTCTAATTTAAATAAATGTACATTATAATTTATAAAAAGGTTTTATAAAAAGGTGGTCCAAAGAGGTTGATGATCCCTACATTACGAAAAGGCTGTACATTTGTTTAGTTAGACCCATACTCGACTATGCCTCTGTTGTGTGGTCTCCTTCATATAGGTGCTATGTAGATTGAATTGAATCTGTTCAAAAGCAAGTTCTTGCTGTTTGCCCTTAGAAATTTGAGTTGAGATCCGATTGCGTCTCTTCCTCCCTATGAAAATAGGTTGCTTCTGTTATCCTTACCGTCACTGGAGAAACGTAGATTTGTTCTTGGGGTTTACTTCGTAATCAAAGTAATAAACGGTGCTATTGACTCGCCTTTATTACTTGGTGAAATAAGCTTTAAGGTCCCTAATCGCTTCTCTAGGCACTTTATCTTGATTAAGCTTAGTCAGTGTAAATATAATTATGAGTTGTTTAATCCGCTCAGAGTAGTTTGCAAGAACCTAAATAACGTCTATCACTTATTCACGGTATCGGACTCTTTAAAGTCCATTAAAGTAACATTGCTTAATACGCGCGATTTACCTATGTCTTACTAAAACTAGCTTTTATCCTTAAAAGTCGTTACGATTCGAAAATGAATTGTTGCTAAAAATTATCGCTTGCCAGGCTTATGCATATTTGCGATGGTTTAGGGGTTCATTTGCAATTTAACCCTATACCGGTTGTAAGTGTGGCTCTGTGCTGGTTATGTACATGCTTTTTTTTTTCCTTCTTATTTGTTTTATTGTACTTATACTAAGGTTTATTATTAATTTAATATAAGTTTTGCTTTAAGTGCCCATTGAACTCGACTGTCATTTGTTTATTTGAGTTTCATGTATAAGTAGAATTAAAATAAATAAATGAATAAATAAATAAATAAATTAGATAATGAGTTTAGTAGTATTAATAAGGTAACATATAGAATTGGTATTCGATGCTGAAGCTGATTTTAGAATGTCCAAAGGGTTAATCGTTCCAAATGCAATACTTCTAGCCAAGGAAAAGTTAAGGCAATCGCAGAGAATGTGCTTTACAGTGAGAGCTTGTCCACAACTGCAGATTTAGGAGGAAGACTTCTTCAAGATCCGCTGGTGAGTTGCGATACTATGACCAATGCGAATTTTCGAAAATGTTTGGATCTTGGTTTTCTCAACGTTTGTTAGATATAAAGGTGGAATTATTTGAGGGTTAATGGAAGAGTAGTGTTGATGATGGTATTGTAAATTTCCTTCTGCAATTTTCACTTTAACTTTTCTCCCAATGTATCTTTGAAGATCCAACTTTTCCAAGACATCATCCACAATTAGAGGAGCTGAAGCAGCATACTTTGCCGCTCGATCAGCCTGCTCATTTCCCAATAAACCGATGTGACTTGGTACCCATAACATTTTAAATTTTTCATCGGGTGTTGTAATTATATTCCTTAATTTGTTGATGGTGCTTCATCTCGAAGTCGAAGGATTCCGAATAGCTTGTAATACAGACAAACTGTCGGTAACAATGGCAGTTTTGAGTTTGTTTTTATCTCGAAGTCGAAGGATTCCGAATAGCTTGTAATACAGACAAACTGTCGGTAACAATGGCAGTTTTGAGTTTGTTTTTATGGGCAAGGTTCGCAGCGGGAAGGATAGCTCTGGCTTCGGTAGTGAAAGTTGAAGTACTCTCGTGAAATATGTGATTAAGAAGAACCTGTTATGAAGATCTTATGTTAATTGTGGGCAGATTAGTTAACAGATGTGTTTAACATAGGGACATTAGGAGCAAACACAATAGGACCTTTAGTGCCTTAATGTGCATAAATACTAAGTTAATGAACCGTAACAAGGCGCTGGATGTTTAATACTGACATTCAAAAAGAAGTTGTGTAGTCAATACATATTACATTAGTTTTAAAATCAATGAAAAAATACTACTTCAATATCTAAATTACAGTATTTGTTTCAGTTCGGCATATAAATCTTTTAAAAATATTGGTAAGATCATAGAGAACTTTTTCCTCTTTTATGATATTAGATAATAATGTTCATAATGCTAGCTAAAAAAAAAGAAGATGTACTATTTGTCCAAATAAACTTGCAACATTATTAAAGTTAATCAATTATCATCGCATTTTGTGTGTTTACCACCAAAGAATGGTAGTATATTCATTCATATTCATATCCAATGTTGAAACGATTTGGGGGTGCCAACACAATGATGCGTTGTTCCTATTTTCAAGTTAAAGAGCCTCAAATGGTACACGCACTGAGAAGCAGGAGAAATATGGAATCTCATATGGAACTCATATGATATTGAAACGAAAAGAAATTAATATAAATGCAAACAACAAAAAAAAAAAAAGAGCAGGCCATTATATGTTAAGGCCAATAAGTTAGATTTAACAGTAAATTGTTAGCTCTATACGCAGTGATGTAAAACAAATATTGCAAACTTTGGCTGAAAAAAGAATATTTTAGAAAAAAATTGAATAAACGTAAAAGTAAAGAATAATAAGAAATTATTATAAGTTAAAAATATAAATTCGCTTTTTTAACAAAGCAAGCTAGTTCCCTAAGGTGACGAATATTTTTTGCTTGAAGAGATCGAAGAAGCTAATATATAAATTGAAAAATTATATAAATTGAAAAATAACTTCTAATACAATTGAGCCTATGCCATTCACCAAATTTACTAGTATTGCAGATTTCGAAAGATCATTTGGTATAGCATGAATAATTTTAAAATATACTATACTATAAGTATGGTTACTCATGGCTCTGAGAAGTATTTTTATCTCCCAGCAATTGAAGGTCGCCTCTGATAGGGCTGTAAAGTGAAAATTGGGTCTTATTTTATAGAAGAGACGATTATATATAACACGTGCAATTTCTTTAACGCTAGATTTGTGGCGCCCGTTACTTTCAGTTGTTTATCTTCGTTTTTACGACAGTGATGATTAACTTACCCGTCATATTGACGGGTTTCACAAAACGTCCGCAGATCTAGTGTTAAATTCATGGTTTAGTTGTTCAGATATCCGTTTAGGAATAACAATATTTCATGGATAAAATTGTACCCTCAAATTGCCTCCTTTTTGTTTGAAAGTCATCTTTTTCATTTAAGAAAAGCCACCGTGACCAGGTATGCTTGCAAGGTAGAAGTCCTCAATTTGAGGTTCGTATGTCATCGTACGTACTTAAAATACGCATTGGGAAACCATATGCCTTTTTATTTATCAAAAACAGAAGTGGAAAGAACGACAAATTTTCTATAACCATTCATTGCAACTACTACAGCATACAAGATCCGGAACAATGCAGCAAAAGTGGAGCAGAATTGCTCCATGACTCTGACTCTACGTAATGTTTCTGATAGATGCTTTACTACAGAATAGTGGAATACATTATCACCGGCCGAACCATCAATAACATATAGCTCATAGATATTGTTATAATAAAGAAATAGTTTTTCTTAACATAAAATCCTCAAGCAAGAAAGACTTCGTTGCGCTTTGCCACAGATATCGCTTCAAGGATGTTCATGAAGACTTTACATTCATTGTTGATGAAATTCCAGAAGGATTCCGGAGTGAGGTTGAGTTTACCTTGTCAAAAGTATTGCGGAATTTTTCAAAACAAAATACGTGAGTAGGAGGAATAATCTCTGGCTGAGAGACCTAGCTTTTTGGAGGAAGAAGGCATTCATTATCTCAACCTTCATTAACTCGTTAGCAGTACAAAAAAGAGCTCTTTCACCAGAAATGACATTGAGGATATCCTGAGGAATCGAGGCTGTCAGTTCAGTGTAGCGTTTTAACATACTATCGTTGAATGTCTGCATGCGTTTCTTAATTTCTATATAAATATATTTCGAAAATTTTCAAGATGTGGTATGTGCGAAGTGGAGCTTTGACCGGACTAAGAGTCTATACACTGTCAAAACTCTTTTTGGGAGGCAATCCTGCTTGATTGTTAGTCGTGAATTTGGTGATATTACATCCGGACTATCACCCTTTCAAGACTTTCTTACGTCCGCGAAGAATTAGGCCATCATTTAAAATCAATTTCAAATCATCATTTTTATTTACATCAAAGAGAAAGTTAACGTTTATTGATAGATTACTCACCGCCGCAGAAAAAGATGAGTCAGCAGACACTCTTAAAACTTAGCTGTATACAGATTGAAAAAGATGTAGCTCAAGCAACTGTCTTGTGAATTATCACCATATACTTCAACTATCTCAGCACCCATAACCGGCACACGCTTCAATAGCAAGTTTAATGTCCATAGACGTTTTTGAAGGGGGATTAAAAAATTTAAAAAAATTTCGCAAAGTTTCTTCAAGTAAACACAATCACAGGCTTTGCTGATATCCAGTGAAAAAATTACCAAAATTTTAACCGTTGTTTTTAGACTCGCTATGAGTTGACACACATGTAATTTTGCTTCTTTGAAAAGCATAAGAATCAACTGCAATAATGTTCCCAGTGTTTACAAAACTAGGATTGATTCGCAACTCATTTTAAAGCATTCTACATTCTTTTTAGGTAAATTCATATGTTAGTGTATAAAAATATTATACAAGATTAAAATGAAAAGATAGATATTAATATTCAAAATTCAAGTTCACAATTTAAAGTTTTTTCTTTATTGTATTCTTGAGAAACTTTATTTAGTTTTGTTTTTATTAACGTTTGCATGATTTTGTTATTCAGTGTATAATTGTAAATAAACAAAATTCAAATTTGCCCTTTATCTTCCCATTATTTTTATGAAACAAATTTCGAATGGCGAAAGCCACATATAATCCTCGCCCTTATGGTTTTCAAGGTACGTCTTCCAAATGAGAACTAGTTAATTAAAAGTACATAATCATTGCTCAAATCTTTGTTTGTGTAAGCAAGTACCATATGATTTGAGTAGCAAAATGTAAAGTTTCAAGCGCAATGATTCGTTCTTCCTATATTTGGAATGACGTTTCAACTTTGCGACTTTTTACGAGAGTTAGTAAGAATTGACAAATCATAACACAATGAAGCGTCATTCATTCATTCATTTTTGGATTAAAAGCTTCCAAGTGGTAAACACACTGGGCAACCGTACTACTATATTGTTTTAAAGCAAAATGGAAACAAAAACATATGGTTTTAGGGCCAAAAATAAAGAATTCAACGCAAACGTAAACAGACAGCTTGTAAAAATTTTCAATAAGAGAGTTAATATAATGGTAAATAGCTTGTTTGTTGATTAATGATAAAGAAAATTGATTAGATATATGCAGATATATATATTCTTTGTTTCTTTTATTATCTATTTTCGGCTCCTTTAAGCGCTGTTGTTGAGTGTCTAGTTGGAGATGAAGTAAAGTTTATAAATACAAATTCAAAGACCATTCGCTGTTCCTACTGATGCAGTATTGATCGTGCTTCACGCCAAATATTTGTGGTGGTGGCAATGTGTTAACTCTTTGTGTGCAGTAGGGTTACATTTATGATGATAACTCCTTCCCTTACAAGTTTGAGCCGTCCTCGGGTTTAGCCATAGTTTGAGTTATTGCCGTCTAAGTAGATTTTGTCATAGCATTAAATTTATGTTTTTTACGGTTATGGTTCACAACAAAGGCGAGGGTAGGAATGCCGATTAATGAAAAATTGATTGATAGATTGATATTGCGATTCCTGTCATCCAGCCGTTATAAGTGTCCAATACGATGCTTGTTTTCTAGAGTTGCGCGATGAAGATAAGGGATGTTTAGGATCTCCAAAGGTTAGCCACGGCCATATCCGGAATCAAAGCGATCGTAGCGCATCTATTAAGAAAAATTGTGTTGTTGATTTTTAATTGACTGTAAATGGCCGTATTGCCAGATATGAATTGCAGAGTACAGGGCGAAATAAAAAGATGCCGTGCAAAATGCTGTTACACTTCACTGCAGTTTCTTATAGCCAGTGTGATACTATAACATATAGCTATAGCACTTCAAGATGTAACATCTTGCCATTATGAGCAAAAAGAAGTATTATAAATTTTCATATACTGACGTAAGTATAAGAATTTTTATAAGTAACGTAATTCACCCTTATAGTTTTAATACTACCCATTCTTATTACATCAGATCAGGTAGAGCAATCATTCGTTGGAGTTTAATCAATTTCATAAGCGTCCAGACTCACCAGATTAAGTAAGTTAATTTGAGAGATCGTTAAAGAAAAAATATATTATTCAGGTCAGCAATTATTCAAATAATTGCTACTAACAATTCAAATTCGCAGTATTCATTTTCCCTTTCATTATGCAGTGTTGGTTCTTTCTGCCCAGGATTCTGAAATGGATTTTCAACTTGGTTGTCGAATTCTTTCGTGTGCATCACTTCGATAGCTTTTTGCCAGTCACTATATTTATTGGCTTGTGACACAAGATAGTGACTAGCAGTATAACTTCCTCTGCATCTTCTAAATATCTATCAAGTTTTAAAAACCGAGGAATTTCCTTCAATAGTACTGTGAAATCTCTCAACCTGGCCATTTGATGTGCCTGGCAGTGGCGGAGCATTCGCAATGACAATATTGAAGTAATTCTTCACTGTCGACTTCATACCGCTCGCACTGAATCACTTCTTATTGCCGCAATATATAGTTGTTGTACCGGAAAACAGGTTCAATAGTTGAAGCAGTAGAGGCTTAGCATTCAGTATTGTTCTAGATCTTAGAAGTTGGACTACGGAAAATTTCGAAAATTTGTCGATGCACGTAAAAAAGCGTCTGCAGTCAATAGTGTAGACATGTATATGAACAATTTCCCGCAATTTGATGGGATAGGTGTTTAAACTGTCTGATGTTTTGTATGATTCCGATTATATTTTGACCGTGACCAAATTCGACAATTCATCACAAAGTTTTTTACTGTTTTGTCCATTTACGAGAAAAAATAGTCTTCGTGGATTTATTTAACGATTTTTTGAGAAGCGCTGTAGGGCATATTGTGTTCTTTCACAATAATTTGTCTTTGATCGTTTGGGTTAGTCATGTCAATAATTAGCTTTCTTCCATGTCTAAACTTGACTCCCGAATATGTTCAGTCAGTTCATGTTCACAACGCGTTAGTATCGGTAAGTCACAATGTATTGCATTAACTATATCGGGTTTTACAGATTGTTTCAGCAATGGAATTAGGTCCACATCATTATTAAATATGATAAAATGTCAATACAAAATATTTCCTTCCCTGAGGTTTCGTTTGTTCGATAATAATCTGGTTGCGGATGCAGTTATTTGGTTTATCAACTGACACTATTGCATTCGTAAAAGAAACTTCGTAGCCTTAATAATATTGCTAGAATTATCACTCTATCATATATGATAGAGCAATCGCACCCACATTGGCCTTACCAGGTTTGTAGAAAACTTTTATCTTTCGTTAGTCAATAAAAACTTAGCCATTTCTAATATTCGCATTCGGATTTCTATCTGAGAATGCGAATGTTAAGAACTGGTGATCAGCAGAAACTTTAATATTTTTCACACCGTGCAGGTAGTTTCTAAGCGTTCTTAGAGCCCAAAAAAACTATAATACTTCACGTTCGTTAGTCGCGCAGTTCTCTGCAGTGCCAGCCAGTGTTCGTGATATCAGTGTGATAGGTTTCCCATGCTGGGATAAAAGTGCACCGATAGCATGCAGAGAAGCGTCCGTTGTCAGGTATAAAGGTTTTCTAAAGTCCGGACAGTTCAATATTACGTCCTCTTACACCAAGATACTTTTTAAACTATTAAATGCCAGAATCTGTTAACCATTCAGACTGACCTTGACTTGTTTTCGACTGTGATGTAGAAATACTACAATATTCCCCTCTGACAATATTAATTAATGGTCTAGCTCTTTTTTCGAAGTCGTTAATAAAGCACATATAGTGCTCTGTTAGACCGAGGAACGAACGAACTCCACGTAATGTCGTTTTCCTAACTCCATTTGCTATGACCATAAAACCGAAGTATTTTGTTTCTAGCTTGAAGAATTTTGATTTCTCTACGGAAACTCTCATGTTGGCGTATAGTAAACTTTTGAGAACTGATTCAACATTCTGAAAAATGTTAGGGGCACTACCCTACATACATCATACAAAACAGCCTCCTCACCATTATCATGAATAATTTTTTATTTTCCTTGATCTATTAGCGCGCAGAGAACTTTAAACGCAAATAAAAAAAAGCGCAAGAAGAAATAAAGACAATTTATTTTAAATTCTTTATTTAATTTATGTTTATTTTGTGTCCGCCTGAGTGGCCAAAGCTCAAATATTGTGGGTTCGAATCTCAAGTGCGATAAAGTTTTTAATAAACCCTTGGACACTATTGCTTTAACACTTTAGTCTTAGAATTTATTTCTCTGTCTAAATTAGTAATAATATTTTGTACTAATTTAAATTTTTTTTATATTATATGATTTAAAATTTTACCTTGTATCCCATATTGTTGGATAAGTAAAAGAAAAAGCAAGTAAAAAATATATTTGTCAAATCAAAACACTAACCAGTACATTTGTGGTGGTCAGTAAAGTCTACCTCCAAGCTCAAAGTAATTCTTTTAAATTTAATTTGCTTTTACGTTAATTTTCCTATCGTCTTTCTTCACATAAGCGTTGTTTACAGTTATGTTGATTTTTTCAGCTTTGCTTCTCAAACCATATGTTTTGGTTTAATTTACATTGATCTCCTTATTTTTTTTTTATAAAATAATTCGCAACGACGTTTCTCTGCTTACCAAGTGAAGCTAATTAGCCCGAAAAATGGAATAACGCATCATTGTGTTAAGTCAAAAAACCTGCAAAAAAATGGCTATGTTTAAACAAAGCAAAATAATTACTTAAATATAAAAATATAAAAATAAGAGATTGAAGATGCTGGGTTTTGGAAAACAATGTATAGTGTAAATTGAAAATCCATGTAATATAATATAAGCAAAATAATATAATATAAGCAAAATTTGACAAATTTGATTTTTGTTTGTTTACAACACAACAATGATTTCAAGCGAATTTATTCTTTATACCTTTTATTTCAATACAATTAATTTTGAAAGTGAGAAGATATACCAGTTTACATTTCTTCATTTATTCGTCTCAACTAGGAGAGGAAGAAGTTTATTGCTACAATTTTCATCTGGTTGTAAACCTTGCAAATAGTATATTTATATGTATATAAGCAAAAACAAATGTGTACGTAAATTAGGTCACCATTCCATTCAGGCAATGCTTGTCTTTTCGGTTTATGAAACATGCTTCACTTCGTGAGGTCCTATATACGTGGATTCTATTCACGCAATAAATATTAGGAATATTCCAATCATCCTTTTTAGTATAACAACGTATCACAAGAACAAAGAAGCACAACAAGTTGCTACTTACCATCAGGAACACCCAATTTCCTATTCAATCACTTCTTTGTGTTGGTGCAAGTATCCCAACGAATCCATTCTGTGTAAAGTTTTTTTCCATTTCTTGTCTTATTTCTGATACAACAACAGAAATGGTGCTCTGTGCAACACTTAGGTAAAAATCGATACACCATTGCCATTGATAGTCTCCAGACTACAGCAATTTTCCGAAAACGTATTTGAAAGCCCCTTTTGACAACAGAGAACTTCGCAGAAGTCTACATATAACAATATGTTTATGTGCATTTTAATTTGTTGTATGTTTATGTATATTGAAGTTATTGACAAAAGTATAAAACCTTTTACTTGCATATTTTCGGGTAATGTAAAAGGACGAAGAGCCGTTCTACGTCTTAAAAGATTACTTTTCGACACATCTCGATGATCCTCTTCTAGAAATAACATAATGTAAACAAAGTGAAGATGTATATATTTCTCAGTATTAATCATTTTTATTAATTCATATTTTAATTAATAAAAAAATTTTACTTACCTTCTCTTTTTGCTTGGTTTGGTAAAATGGATTAGACCAATTGGCGATAAGACCAATATATCCAGACGACAGATGGTGTTCTATTATTCGTTGCTTCGTTTGGGTTTATTAATGATAGCGACCTTATAGAATGATGTACGGAAAGACTGACGATGCAGAATTGATTACTAGGTTTGGCGAATTAAGTATATTAATTAGACAATTGGAGGGAAAAGCAAAGGTTTGGTTCAACTGTTTGTAAATTAACAATTTTGTTCGCAATTTATTTTATTTCCAATTTTCAGCTCTTTTCTCTTACAAATGCAGCACTAAACAAACAATACTAACTCAGAAAAACCAAACTAACGCAAAGCGGCAGGGATTGTGTTAATGCCCGTTGGGAACATAGCTAAAATGATCGAAACTCGAAAATGATATATAGTCAACACCACACATAATTTGTGACAGGCCTATAAACAAAGCGAAGCTTCAATGTGTCAATAAGGTGAGGTAGTAATTATAACGAGGACACGCTTATATTCCCGGGCTCGAAAAATTAATCTATAAATTTATAGGATTTATCTTATATTTATGTTTTTATATACATTAAATAAATATGTCTATATATATGTATATATACATACAATTTACAAAGCGATAAAGTTAAAAAAATGATTGAATTAATTTCCCCTAAGCCTAGTAATATAAACGAAGCTTCATCGTGTGAACAACCTAAAGCTACACCACAAGTGAAGATATAACGAAGCATCGCTTTGTTTTCTTGGTACTGATTACGTAACTTTAGTTTTCGCTTCGACGACTTATCTTGAAAGTTTTGCATTATATATGACTTTCACCTTTTACTATTTACTTTGACAGGTAAAGGGAAAATAGCACACAAATTCATGTTTTCATGTACTTTGCACGCGTTGTTGTACAACAAACAATAATTGAAATATGCCTAATACTTATTGGATGCGTAGACGGAACTTACATTCATTTTCGTAAGCCCGCACATAATGAAGAACGTTTCCTAAACCGAAAAAACAAGCATAGCATGAATGGAATGAGTTAATTTACATACATGTGGTTTTGCCTACATACATACAAAAATTGTATTCGTAAGTTTCGCGATTGATTGTATAGGGCAATTTACATTTTGTCGATAAAGCCAATGTATATACAGCAGAGGGATGAGTTTTTATTATTTGTTACGCCGTTGCGGCCTATCAATGTTAGCGACAGTATATGAAGATAAAAGGAAAGATTGGTGATATAATGTTGATTGCAAGTTTTGGCGAATTAATAGTATTGTTACGGAAATACCAAATCCAGTTCATTCCAACTCATTAATTTTCCCAAAAAATAAATTTCCTAGAGAGGGAAAACTCAAGTACACATTTGCGGCGCGTCATGGAGCTGCCGGCCGAGGAAAACGATTAGCGAAAAAGCAGCTTAACGGATTAAAAATAAAGCTATGAACTTAGGTAATAGTAATATGCCTGTAAAAATATATATAAATAAACTATTTGCGGAAGGCAGAGTCAGTCGGACAAGAACATTTGAGTCGAAAAGGAATATTAGGGTTGAGAAGTCGAGAGTATTGCCAAAGTAAAATGTAAATAGTCCTACTCTTAAACAAATTGTAAATAAAAGAGTCTTACAGTGAAAAGGTGCAAATGTATTTCTCTTAAAAATAATATCCACGATCTAATGATATGAACCATACCCGAATTTCGCAACAGTATTAATTACACAATTGGAATAAAAAGTAAAAAAAAAAATTATTCCATTCACGTCTCACAAATTTAATTTTTTTTGTTTAAGTTCAGCTGTCTTCAAGTAAACAATTTTGGTTGAAAACTGTTTTATTATCAATTGACAGCCGCTTTCTTTTATAAAGGCAGCTTTAAACATGTAATACGAACTCAGAATAATCAATAGTAACTGAAAGCGTAAGTAATTTTCCTTACGCTTGGTTTGATAGTTTTGTCTGTAATGCACACATCTAGAAAAAAGGTCGGAACTTAAAAATGAAAAGTTGTTAACGACGTACAAAATGAGTGCCTAGACAAGCGTAGCTTTTATTGTGGCAACTAGCGAGTAAAAAGTTAAACAAGACTTTGAAAATAGAATCAACTAACATATTGTTTAAATACTAAAAATAAAGAAATCAACATAAATGTAAACAATAAATATGTGAAAGTGAAGGATACGAAATTTGCGTAAAAATAAGAATTGATTGATTGACTAGTAAAATGGAGAATTGAGAAAAATTAATAATTGACAAAAGGGCTGTTGAGATGGACTTCAATGACGCAATTAAAAAAAAGGAAACGAATTGCTTAAACGCTTAATTTGACATATGTTTTACATTGAAAATAAGTAACCTTTACTTCGTGTTTTTCATTTCTTATAAAACTTGCATATATTTTGGCCATCGACATTTATTGGTAAAAATGATAAAGTGATGCGAATCAATGTACACAATGATCAAATTTGGTGATTTTGACCTTAATTTAAATTAAAATTTAATTTTGCACATTCATTATTTTTGTTGTCTCATTTGAAGAAATCTGCTACCGAAGCTCATCAGACACTGTAGCTTATGGAAGCTTATGGCGATACTCCTCCATCAAATAACAATCGACGATGTAGTGTGCTACGAGCTGCTAAAAACAAATAAAATTGTTATTGCATATGTCTACCGACCGTAGTTCAACGACATGTTGTTACAAAAAAGACCAGTAATTACGATCAACATATACAAATTCACCCTATTCCGTGACAACGCTCTGCCACATGATGCAAGAGTTTTCAAGCATGCACTATTGTAGCCCGAATGAGAAGTTCTGTCGCCCCCAGCGTACTTACCACGCGTAATATCTTCTGCTATCAGCTGCCGTTCTTTCGAAACGGTAACTCTATATTGCCAGAAAGATGGGAATAATATGTAGAACACCAAATTTTGCAACAAATTTTATCCCTAAGATTTTTGCAGATTTTTTTTAAGTGGACATATAAGCCACGTTTCTCATTGGTTTGTCTTAATCAATATATCAATATTACATTCGCTCGGCAACTCTGCATGAAATAAGACGCTTTCTTGCAGAAAATTCTTGAAAAATAAATTTTTTTTCAACAAAAAAAAAGAAAAAAATTCTCCTTTTTTTTTTGTTTCTGAAAACTCTTGAAGTAGTGAAAATATATATAGTGAAGTTGCGGCATTTAAACAAAATCAACAAAGGCTTCGACGTCCTTGTGCTTCTCCGCAAATTGCGCAGCACCACCTGCTGTCTTCAACCTCATCCTGACAAGACTCACTTCGTCAACTCACCCGTACATTGGACATCAAGTAGCGGCGATTCCTGTCAAATTCTTAAAACTGCTTTAACTTACAAGGCTTTGTGCTTCTCTGTCTCTGTCGGTTCCACCAAAAACGGCTGATTTCCATATCCCTTCTTTTCTCGGTAAGTCAGTTGATCCTTTTCTCTTGCCTTTAATCTAGCACGAAACCTAAAAGTCGTCCGCCCCTCAAGGGGGTGAGGCTCTCAAACATGTTATCAAACGATGATGATTTCGAAAATTTTGTTCGAATCACGCATAGCAAGGGTTCATTTAAAAGAAGAATCACAGCCCAGAACGAAGGTCTCAAAAAGATCATCTCTGATAAGAACAATTCATCTGTAAAAGACTTGACTGAGGATGTCAATATCACCTCCTTAAAGTCCCCGATCGCTCCCTCTAGGAATAAGCCTCCCAATAAAGACAGCTCTGTGAACAATAACAATAATAGTAGTCCCATAAAAGGAAAGAGCTCTGACCCAACTAGTCCAAATCGTTATAGTGACGACACGACCGGTGAGTGCTACGTATTCATTGAAGTATGCAACAATAACCTAGAGAAACCTTTTCGCCTTAACTCAGATTTATTTTTTTTCGAACACATCAAAGATCTCAAATTGGCAATTGCAATGGCAAAGCCAAACTTGGTTTTGCCACTGCGGTTGATGCCAACAACTTTATAATAAACAATGATTTTGGTCCAAAGTCTTGCAAGGCCTACATCCCTAGAATTTTCACAGAAAAATCTGGGATCGTAAAAAACATTCCACCTTCAATTAAGGAAGAGGACTTTCTCAACTCAGCTACCTCTGATATTGAAATCATTTCTGTTACAAGAATCCTCAGAAAAGACCCTGCAGACAGAGAAATGTTCATCCCAACAAACAGCCTAAAAATTGGTTTCAAGGGTAAACTAATTCCCAAGAGTATAAAATTCAACTATTGCAATATTCCAGTTGACTACTTCATTCCTTCCGTCAGGCTCTGCTATAATTGCGGCCGATTTGGTTACATCGCCAAATTCTGCAAAAGTAAGGAAAGCAGATGCCTGAACTGTGGCAAGTCACCGGCCTGTCCTACGGACTCATGCCTCTCAATCAAATGTCTAGGTTGCGGGTCGCTGGACCACAACGTAACATTTCGAGAGTGTCCAAAAAGAAAGAAAGAGGAAAATCTAAAAAAAATTTTAACCATCCAGAACTTATCTTTTAGAGAATACAAAGAGAAATTCTCTAACAACCCATACAATTTACTTGAAAACTATGACGTAAACTTCCCAGCAATGAAGGACAGCAATGCTCCTAACAATATCAGAGACCCTACTCTTGATACAAATAATATTTTAATTAACAAAAACTTCAATGCAGTTTTAAAAAATAAAACAAGTATTCCCAAGTCCTTGCATAGAATGTCTCTCAAGACACCCTCGACTTACAGTAACAAGTCGCAGGAGCCAAAAAAACCTACCCCGCCCCCTGAAAAGCATACTTTCATCAATTACCATAAATCCACTGAAATGGAGATAATTCTGGAAAAGATTTTCAAGATTCTCTCCATCTCTTCTCAAGAAGACATGCTTAAAACCATCCAAACAGAAATAAGTTCCCTTAAATCAAAATTTGATCTTTTAAAACAAGGTACATCTGGGTCGGCCCTATCATGTTCTAACATTTCTCACTTCTCTGTCCTTCCTACAGTATAACATACAAAGCTTCAGGCGTAATGCCCATTCTCTTGATTTTTTCATAAATTCCAACCGAACTGATTTCGCCATCTTGAGTGAAATCTTTCTGTCCGATGAAAAAATTTCCGATCTCAAAATCTCAAATTACAACTCCGCTTATAAATGTAGAAGTGACGGCTATGGAGGTGTTGCCATCCTTGCCAGAAAAGGCATATCCTTCAAACAAATCCCATTTAAATCGACTGCTGACATAGTCATTATCAAAACCTCTTGTCTAAAACCTAATATCGTCATTGCTGCTTGCTATTTCAAGCCCAACAGCCCCATTCAATCTTTCCGGGATGACTTTAATCATCTCTGTGATATGCTCAATAGTTTCCACAATGTCATAATTGCAGGAGATTTCAATGCAAGACACCCTTGCTTTGGTGACTCCGTGTCAAACAATAAAGGCAAAGCCTTGCAAGAAATCATTAAAGCTAGTAACTTCTATTGTCTGAATGATAATTCACCAACCTATTTTCACTCTACGACCAACAATTGTGGTAGCGTGTTGGATCTTACTTTCACTAACGCAACCCAT